AATGCAGGAGGGGTGCAGGGATTGGGGCTGGAGGGGGGGGGATAGCAGATTAGGATGCAAGATCTAGGAGGGGGTTGTGACATGAGGAGGTGTGTAGGAGTGGAAGCAGTGTCTGGGAAGGCCTATGGGGGCTGGAGCAGGGGTGCAGAAGGCTTGGATTATATGGGGTAAGGCTGTAGTAGGGGGGGCAGAGGGATTGGGGGGAGAAAGGGGCTGAGGTGCCAAAGGCAAGCTCTGTTGAGGAGACCTCACCTGGGTGGCTCCCAGCTAGCATCTCAGCAGGTTCCTTAACCAGAATCCCTGCCTTCCAAGCCTCTGTACATGCTCACAGCAGTTATAGGGGCTATGTTTGCTGCAAGCCGGGGGAGGGGCAATTGACATACTGCCTGTCCTACAAACAGGCAACTGCTATTGGCCAGAAAACTGGCCCATGGGAGCTCCTGGGGCTGAGAGTAGTGTGAGATGCCTCTGCCCCCTCCTCTGGGGCTCTCCGGATTCACAGAAGCACATGGCCCTGCAGCCAACTTTCCTGAGGGTCGAGCAAGGACAAGGCAGTCAGGGAGCTGGCTGAGGCTCTTGAGAGTTTAAACAAAGAAAATAACCTAATCACATCTTAACATGCCATATCACTTATATACCCACATCTTCAAGGTCCAGTCTATTTCTAGGCATGGGTATTCCTTTTCTGGGCATGGGTATCCCTGTGGTTCAAGTCGTCTTTTACCCCCAGATCCTGGTTTAAAACTCACAACGAAAAGCAGCAAGCAAATTCCCTTTCAGTTCAAATCTCAAGATTTTTGTCCCATTGGTTCTCCTGAAAAAGATTAATTGAACCACAGGGATACCTATACCCAGAAAAGGAATACGCGATATTTCCTAGCTACCTGCATTCAGCCCTTTAGTTACTGAATGCTGAGATGTTTAGAAAAGGACATCCATCATAACAGGTTAACAAAGTAAAATTAAGCATTGATTTATTAGTCTAACATTTGTACAACTAGAACTACAATATAAATATATGTTGATACTGTTGCATATTGTTCTGTATCTAATGCCCCTATGTTTCTGTGAGGATAGGATAAGAACAAAAAAACAAGCAACAGCCCAGAGAGAGAGACAGAAGGAATTGACATGTTCTGTCAAATGTTTCCATTATTATTTTGATTTTATTTTGGTCATATGTGCCATTGTGCCCCCTCAACCATGATGGCTCTCTAATCAATTCATTTGCGAATTGAACCCAATTCTGAAGACTTCATTTATACCTCCTGAATCACAAAGACAAGCTTGCAGTAATGAAAGGTTAAAGAGTAAAAGCAAAGAATAGTCCTGTAGCACCTTGGAAACTAACGGAATTGTATAGTATCATGAGCTTTAATGGGTAACATCTTACCCACGAAAGCTCAAACATGCTTCCAGATTTATTTTTTAGCCTGAAAATTTTGTTTCCTTCAAAGAGCGAGCATAAGATTTTACTTTCTTAACTTGGGAGAATGAAACATTTTAATCTTTTCTATCCCCTTGGACTGAAACTAAATTCATCACTGCCTAAAATGCTTGGTTAATTTTTTTAAGGCTAACTGGTCTGATACATTTTGATCAGCATGATAAAACTTCTATTATGCTGTAATGAACTCAGTCTTTTACCAGTTGCACTGGACTTGATACACGAGTTTTAAAGTCTATATTTGACCTGGCAGAAGTAGTTTTCATTACATACTCCCTTTCTCCTCATAGATTGATTTATCTGTTCATTACTGGAGCTTGGTCTACGTGTGCCAATTTTGACATAAGAAGGAGAAAAATGAAAAATTAGGTCAGCACTGCAGTCTGTAGTAATTCAAAGGAGGAACTGCCATGAATCAAGTGTTACCTTTTCTTTTTAAAAGAACGCTTGCAAATTATTTTACATGAAATTTAAAAATTGTTTATGTACTGTTATTGATAAATACTGTTTGTAAACTGAAAACTTGATTCTCTAATACTAATTTCCATCCCTATTGCATGCTCATTGGTCTTTTAATGTAGGGTTTGTGTGCTGAGCTGCTGGATTGTTTGCGTTTGGTTTTCATTTTTGTTTCATGAACTTATTTTCATGGAACAAAAAAAAACCCACATTACACAAAGATTTATAAAATGTTACAAAGTCAATGGAAGGCAAAATTATATTGCTGTACTGTCAGAGAACAAACATTTTAAGGGTCTCTCATTTTAGGTAACAATGGCTAGAACTAATAAGTAAACATTATCTTAAAACACAGAGGTCACTACATTTTAAGAATGTGGAAAGTGTTCCAAATTACTACTGTGAACCAGATCGTGTTCATTCAAGTATATGCTTAACTTTCCACTCTGTGAGTGGGCTCATCGATTGCTTTTGGGACTCTTCAGAGTGTGTAAAATCAAGAACAGCACAAAGTTCCACTGCAATCAACAGGTTCTCATTGCAGGATTAAGAGCCCTTATTAGCCTGAGGCAGTCACTTGTGTAAGAACATGGAAACAGCCATACTGGATCAGACCAAAGGTCCGTCTAGCCCAGTATCCTGTCTGCTGCCGGGGGCCAATGCCAGATGCCCCAGAGGGAGTGAACAGAACAAGGAATCATCAAATGATCCCTCTTGTCACCCGTTTCCAGCCTCTGACAAACAGAAGCTAGGGACACCACTCCAGGAGCCATTTAATCTCCCTCCTAACGTATGGAAATTAATATTTATTTACTGTTTCATATGTGAGGATTGATTATTTTTTTATAAGGCACTATAAAAAGATTGAGGAAGACACATACATTGTTTTCTCTGAGACTCCTTCTAACAATGTGTGTATTTCAGACTAAAAAAGCTTGAAACTATTTCCTAACATTACTCAGCTTCTGAATGTTATTCTTTCCCAACATGCCAACCATAGAGCCCTTCTCTAGTCCTGTTTCTAATCCTATCATAACAAAGTCAAGCTCCCCATTTTCACGTGTATGGTCATAAATAGGGATCTGTGTCTGTCATGGAGATCACAGAAATCACAGATCTCTGACTTCTGCATGGGCCAGTATGTCTATCCCAGGGCTGCCAAACAGCTGGCTCAGGGGTCACTGCTGGAACAGCCCAGGACCAGCTGCACTCATGGATGCACAGGTGGTCCTTGGGCAGCAGTTGGTGTGGCTGGCCACAAGGGTTTACTAAACCGTGGTCTCTGGGGTGGCCAGAGCAGCTGCTACTCTGGTGGCTCCTGGAAGCAGTCCCTGGGTAGCTAGAGCAACCACTGCTCTGGCAGTTCCCAGCAGCTGGTGCCAGTGGCCTTTCAGGTTTCACTTTTGGAAAAAAAAGTGTTTTTTCAAAACGCCATGATGTGATTATGCAAATGAAACACAGGAAATTCAAATACTGGCTTCATTTGCAATTTCGATCTGTTTAATTTACATCCCTCTTTCGTAAGAGGGATATAGTCTAGACCTAGCCCCATTGACATAGCTACTGTTTCTCAAAGAGGCAGATTAATTATGTTAATGGAAGAAGTTCTCCCATAGGTAGCATCTTCATTAACATGCTATGGTGCGGTTCAGAGCTGCTGTAGCTTTTTATGTGTAGACATGCCCCTACTCAGGAGAACAGTTAGCACATATCTGGTATTTTTAAAATAGTTCCATTTTCTTTTAGACAGCACTCACCCATCTTGAGTTGTAATTAATATATGCAAAGTTCTTCTTATAAGCAGTGCTGGGCAAATAAAGTTGCTGTCCTATTGTTACAATTTACTTTATCGTAATAGAAAATTAGATAAATACAGATGAATGTGGCTACAAAATAAATAGAAAAGCAAATGTACATGGACATGAATATTTGTATTGATGTGACTAGAGGCTGCTGAAGAATACAACTTTTTAATAGTAATTATTTTTGGTTTCAGGACTTCTGATAGTGGAAAGACAGTTGGTACCATAGATGTCAGCCTTGTGAAGATGGGGGAGATAGAAGAGGGGAAAGCAGACCACATCACAACAGATGTGCAGGGACAAAAGGTAGGAAATCAGCCAGCTCACTGCACAAATTAAATTGGAATGATCTGTGGTGCCAGATGCCAATATTACTAATACTACACTGGGGTTTAAGTTCTCATTATTCAAGAAAGCAAAATGAGAAATCAGCTCTGGAATGAAGTGTAATGTATGTGCTCAGGTCTCTGAACTCAAAATTTGTTTGCATAGAGCTGTGCCAAATGATACTCTATCCTCATGCTCTCCCCTCCTTGTCCCTTTGGCTAGAACAAAAGTACTCATTTAAACCTCAATCAACCATAATTGATCACTATCTGAAAATGGTCATAAGGTGATAAAAGGTAGTAAAGTTGTGAATGGTCAAAACTTGGATTTGGCTTTACTAATAATAAGCACAAAATGCATTAAATGAACCATAGCCCAAGATGCCTCCCCAGGCTATTCCTCTCTCAGCTCAGCCCTGTGATCTGGATTCTTTTGCTGCAAGAGGACCACACCCCATGCTGCCAAACTACCTTATTTAGCATAAGTCTACCCTGTAAAATTAGGTCACATTTATTTTTCTGCCTCCAATTTTACAAAGTCAGTGCTGCCTGTCCCCACAATTCGGTTAGGGAAGTGTGTCCTTACTACCAGGGCTTGCATCAACTCATGGAGCAATGCACTGTGAGCTGCTATCCCACAGTTCCTGCCGCTGATTGGAATTCTGGGGTTTTGTCCCATTGACAAATGGGACAAACATATTTTGTGGGTTGTTTTGGGTACATGTCACCAGCCTCCCATGATGTGCTTTCCTCTCTCTCTCCCTCCCTCCATTCCTGAAAGGAATGGCAAACAATTATTTTGGTGCCTTTTTTTTCTAAGCCTGGGTTTACCCAGGCAAATATCATAGCATGGCAAGCATGGACCCTGCTCAGCAGTACACTGCTTGTTGTAAGCATCACGAGCATCTCGCACATGATCCTGTGGTATTTGTAGAGCCTAACCAAAAGCTCCCGTGTAGACGAATGTGATGACATGCAGTGTGCATTTGCCAGAGGCAGTTGGGCATGTTGCCATGGTGGAATGCTGCTTCTGGGCCCAGGAAACAAGCACTGAGTGGTGGGACCCCATAGTTATGTAGCTATGGGATGAGGAACAGTGGCTGCAGAACTTTTGAATGCATAAGGCTACTTTCATTGAAGATTGCGAATTGCTTTCCCCAGCCCTGAAGTACAGCAGTATCAAAATGATATCTGCTCTGACAGTTGAGAAATGAGTGGCAATAGCTCTGTGGAAGCTTGCAATGCCAGATTGCTACTGGTCAGTCCGAAATCAGTTCGGAATGCGTAAATCTACCGTAGGGGACTGCTGTGATCCACATAGCCAGGACCATCAATACACTTCTATTAAGAAGTGTATTGACTCTGGGAAATGTGCAGGATATAATGGATGGCTTTGCTGCAATGGCATTCCCTAACTGTGGTGAGGTGCTAACTTTGAGTAGCCAGACACTAGGGAAATAACAAAAGCACGGTGAGGTGCACCATGTTTCCAAGAGGCTTTGAAAACCGGTCTCATGAATGACCCAGTGCTGATGTGACTCTTCTGTGTTGTTCATGCCCCCCCTTTTTTACATGTACTGCTTCAATCCATGCATTTTTAGTATGCTAACATACACTGAAGAGAGACCGCAAGGGATAGCAAAGATAACCTACGTCTAGGGGCCTGATAACATGGAGTGGGGGCAAGTACACATAGCTTACAGTTGCACTGAGCAGAAAACAAAGCTGTGAGAATGAGAGCCTTTTGATCCATGAACTCTCTCCTGGAGCGTCATACATATGGAACCAGAACTCCCACCTCACATTCTTGAACACTTGTGAGAGGAAGACACGAAACTTAGTGAAGAGGGCAACTGGTTCATCATTGGGTACAGTGGGGCTCTAAGGCAATGGTGAGCAACCTGTGGTTTGCGAGATGCATGCAGCCCATCAGGGTGATCGGATTGCAGGCCACGAGACATTTTGTTGATGTTGACAGTCTGTAGGCACCACCATGAACAGCTGTCAGTGGCTGTAATTCTCTGTTCCTGGCCAGTGGGAGTTGTGTGGGTGGTGCCTGCAGGTGTTGGGACTGTAGGGACATATTGGTCACTGCTTCTTCTAGCTCCAATTGTCCAGGAACAGCAAACCAGGGCCACTAGGAGCTATGGAGGATAGTACCTGCAGACAGTCAACATTAGTAAAATGTCCCATGGTTCACAATCAGATTATCCGGCTAGGCTGGTGTACGTGCTCTCCATCAGCGTTGGCCGAGCTCAATGCATGGAGGCTTATCAGCCTCTGAGGAACACCTCAAATCACAGAATATATCTTCCTTTGTCCATCTCTTTTTTTTTTTTTTCCTTCTTCTAATCTGGGACAGCATTTGTGTGCTGGTGTGTGGGAAACACCCTCAGACAAGGTTCCAGGTGCAAGGAAAAAAGCCCATTAGGGTAGACTTACAGAACCTACATTGTTGAGAGCAAATAAACTCTTGCAATGAATGAAGCCCTTTGCAAGCAGTACATACGTAGCTTTAAAATACAAGGCTGAGTGTTGGCAGCCCAATTTAGTTTGCAGGCAGGCACAGTAAGCCCAGAGGAAAGGGTAGGAGCGATCTTTTGCTGCTGCTTCTCAAACCCCTCTGATTAATGGCTGCAAAGTATATTCCCCATTTCTCACAGCAACCTCGATGTTGCTTGAGTGTTTAATGGGACAGATTACTTCAGGGCTAAAACTTAGAAATTTCTCCCATTTCACCAAGGTAACCATGTGTGATATTGGTCTCCTGAGAGTAACAGAGCTGGAAAGCTATCAGTTGCTGCAGGAATCTGAGCAGAGATTGGGACATTTTGCTCCTACACTGTGTGCTGCAGTGATTACAGATGGTTAATACTGGCATGGTGTGGAAAAGTGTCCTACTATGGCAGATGGAATACAATAGCTCTTCTCAGAAATCTTCTGCAAAGGATTGCAGAGTACCTCTGGGAAAGGTTTGTAGAGCTATCTATGGAGATTCGCAATCCATCCCCAGGCACATAAATAACCTTTTCCATGGAGCACCCTTTGCATAGCTAGACTGGCTGCCACTGTAACTCAGTTGTGTACCTCAGATGGAACAATAACATTAATAAATATGGAATTGGAAAAGTTTCAGAAAAGGGCAACAAATTATTAGAGGTATGGAATGACTGCCAGATGAGAAGAGATTAATAACACTGGGATTTTGGAAAAGAGATGACTCTTTGGGATACAATGGAGGTCTATAACATCAAGTTTAGTTTGGAGAAAGTGGATAAAAGAGTTATTTACTCCTTCTTATAACTAGGGATGTAAGTGACTAGTTGAGTGACTACTCAGTTACTTGCTTTCCTCCCCTCTCCTTGCTGCCTCTGATACAGAGGCAGCAAGGGAGAAGCAGGAGCCAGTGCTGTGTGAAGTTGGGGGGAGCTGAGGGGCAGAGGAAGCAGAGCTGTAGCAGTCCTGGAGCCGGCCCGAGCTGGGACTTCTTAGCCCTGGCTCGTGCCGGCCCTGGGAGCTCTGCTGCAGCTCTGCATTTTAAATGTAGTAGGAGCAGGGCTGCCTTCACACCTAGCTCCTACTATGTTTAAACTGCAGAGCTACAGCAGGGATAGCTCCTGGACCCAGCGCAAACTGGGACAGAGAGCCTACCCTCATCGACTACACAATTAGCCAGTTACCTGCTTCTTAACTTCCTTACCCATAACAGAAGAACTAGGGGTCACCAAATGAAATTAATAGGTAGCAAGTTTAAAGGAAACAAAAGGAAGTACATCTTCATACAATGCACAGTCAATCTGTGGAACTCCTTGTCAGAGGATGTTGTAAAGGCCAAGACTTCAACAGGATTTAAAAAAGAACTAGATATTTGCTCTTACCAAGGATGGGCAGGGATGGTGTTCCTAGCCTGTTGGCCAGAAGCAAGGGACAGAGGATCACTTCATGATTGCTTGTTCTGTTCATTCCCTCTGGGGGCACCTAGCATTTGGCCACTGTCAGAAGACAGGATACTGGCTAGATGGGCTAGATAAATCTTTGGTCTGACTCAATGTGGCTTTTTTTATGTTAAACTCAATTTCATTCAACTTCTATAGTGGGGGTACAAATGTGCACTTATATGGCTGTTGGAGAGAATGTATTCTCCACTTCCCTGCTACATATTCTCTTCCTCATAGACTCATAGACTTTAAGGTCAGAAGGGACCATTATGATGATCTAGTCTGACCTCCTGCACAGTGCAGGTCACAGAGCTATCCACAGAGGGTCCTGGGAGATATCCACAGAGGGCTTAGGGGGTACTGGTGGCATCCCCGCTTAGAATGGCATACAGCTGCTCATAGAAACAGAAGGTCTGTGGTTCACAACTGGAGCAGCTGTTTGACTCCCTTGACTTCTGGTGTGCAGGTCAATCCTGTTGAATAACACAGTGCTTTGTCTATACTACTCCTAGTGAAACCTGGGCAAGTCAACTCTAATGGTACACTTCTAGCTGAGATGGAGTACAAGCATCTGCTTTGCAAGCTCTTTGGGTCAGCAGAAAGGGCTCAAATGTGGACATGCATGTAATAAATTTGACCTAACATGCATATATTCACCTAATGCTGTAGTGTGGACCACTCCTTACTAGAGGCAATTAATGAGCTATACTTACAATAGTGAATCAGCAGGTATTAAGTGGTATCTGCTTGGCAATACTACTTGTTGTGGTGAGTTGATAGGAGAATGCAACAAACTTCTTACAGCCATAGTTTCAGTGGTCTTGTGAGATGCATTTGTTAGTGTGTGTAAATGGGTTATTTGCATGTGTCAATTAAATGGAACATTTTTACCCAATTTCCTGTTTATGGTTGCGAACAGCTGAGGATGCAGTTTGAGACAACTTTTTGAAAATGTCATATTTGTTACTTATGGATTCCTCATCCATATATTGAAATCCCCAACCAATTAGTTTTGAAGTGAGTATACCGATCAGTATGCTGAAAGCCTGTACACCCAGCCATTCAGGCAGAAGGAAACTGATGGCAAAGGCAGGGTAACTGACAAACAGCCTGAATGGGCATCTGGACAAGATGGGGGTGGGCCCGGCTCTGTGCTCCCAGAACGGGTGAGGCCTTGGTCAGAAGGGGCAGGGCTGGGAGCAACCAGTCCTCCATGCTTCCCCAGAATGTGCCCCCTCCCCAAGCCCTCAGAGCTGCATGGAGAGTGTGGTGCTCTGGCAGCGATTTAAAGAGCCAGGGCTCCAGCCACTGCTGTTGCAGTAGCCATGATGGTGGCCAGGAACCCTGAGCCCCATTGGATCCACAGGTCCTGGCCCAACTGTGCCAACAATCCTGCTATGTGTATGTGAGGATCAGGTTGTTAGTATCATTCAGAATTCAGAGTCAGGTAGAGGTTTCTGTTCTCATGTTAGTAAGCCCTGAACGTTTTCCTTAGTGCAAGGTCAGCTTGAAATGGAGGGGGAGAAAACTGAAATATTCACTTTGAAGAAGAATGTATTATGCTAATCACTGACTCCTTGGCTACACACTCAGGCCAGTGAAACCCATGTGGATCTGCTAAGCAGAAGGGCATAATTTTTTGCATGGCACAGAGCATGGGAGGCAGGCAGGTCCAAGTCTGGGAAAGCCGTGGGAGAGACAGAGATGAGAGCAGAATATCTGCTGCTCTTTGAATTCTTTTGTCCTCTGTCCCAGCCCCTGTGGAATGGACAAATGGCATCAGCCACCAGAGTCTGTGACTGCTTCACTGTTTCAGTAGCAACTGAAGTATTTTTGTCAGCCTTCCCAACATGATGGAAGGTTCCTTCTCTCATACGGCACTAGACAGAATGATACAAAGAACAGTTGTGCTTAGCCAGTCTGTCTTGTTTAGGATTTAGAGCTAAAGGCAATAAAGGAAGCTTGTGTGATGGCTTTCAAAGGGGGGGAAAATGTTGGCAAGATTCTAAATTACATTAGAACTCAGAAGATTCTAAAACATTAGAACTCAGAAGAGGAACCTATAAAATGGTTGAAGATTATATAGAAGTAAATACAGGTAGAACCTTCTTGGTTTGGCGCACTCAGGACCTGACTGGTCCTGCATCAGGGAATTTCCTGGACCAAGGGAATTCAGTGCTGACCTTCCTGCCCTTGGCAACCAGCCAAGCTCTTGCTTCTGACCCCCAGGGCACTGTGGTTGCACTATTCTGGTCCCTGGGGCACCATGGCTCCACTCCCTGGCTGCCAGACCCGTAGCACCCTGGTTGCAGGGCTCACTTGCTTGGGCCACCTAGGTCCCATTCTTCTTTGGTCTGGAAACGCTGTTGGTCCCAACCCTCCAGTTTTCCCTCCTCAGTGCTCTGGCCCCAGTGCATGCATGAAGTTGCTGATTATGCCGAACCAGCGGTGTTGCCAGACTAGGAAATTCCAGATTAGAGGTTCTATCAATAGTACTAAAAGATGAAATGATCAAGTAAGGAAAGAAATGTCAATAAGGGGACAGCATAAATAAATAAAATTCCCACCCTGTTCCCCCCCCCCCCACGCTGATTCAATCCAAATTGCTTTTGTAGTAAATCATGCTACCTCTTTGTTATGATTGTGAGATCAGCCCTGTTGAAAGAAATTTCTTTGAAATTGTGTCATCACAAATAATTTTAGACTCTTCTATTGTCTTGTTGGAAACTTCTGTCTACTGCATTTTAGGACAGTCCTTCATGCTTTTCTTTCTTCTGTAAAAGACTCCAGTTTTACAGCCTGTTATTAAAAATTACAAGTGAGTTGTACAGGGAAAATGCAAATTAATAATTAAAAATAAAATTGTTTCACAAAACAGGATTGGAAATATAGCTTATCACAATTTTTTTGCCCAAGGCCTTTCTTATTTAACTGTTTCACATTTCCTTTCAGCTACTTCTGAAAAATTCCATTTGTGATTGTTTCCTTTCAAAGTGTTATATCTTTTCTCTTGTAGTGTGCATTGATGTGTGAATGTACAGCACCTGAAGGCATAAGTGGTAAAGACAGCTTACCTTTATTAAATGCAGGTAAGTGTTATAACATCGAAAACTTCTTAAAATAATTAGGCTTATAATATTCTATTAGGTTACCTTTGTTAGTGGGAGAACTTAAGGGAAACCACCAAAATCTCATGCATACAATGATTTTCAACAGAGCACTTTTAAAATGTGCCCCATTTACTGTTCACTTGCAGTTTAAGATTTGCATTTCTGTAAGCACCGGCCACTGAATATTTAATAAAAGCAAACTAAAAAAAGATGGTCAAAGGGCATTTTAGTAATTCAAAGAACAAGATGTTCGTAATTCCTTTATGTATATATTCTAATGCATTTTGAGTAGATTGTCTTGGAATGAAATAGAAATGTGCTGCTATACAATAAAACTAGTTTTGAAGGGTTTCAGAACTGCTGGAGATTGAAAAATTATCTTGAAAAAGCTACTCCTGGAAGCTGTCTTCACTCACTCGAGCATTCCGGTTGACTATTTGTGTGAGGAAAGATTTGCGGGAACTGGCCCTGAAATGTTAGACTTATTGGTACTCTGCTGAATACTCCCATGTTTGGAGCCTGATCCAATACCTATTGAAGTCAGTAGAAAGACTCAAATTGACTTGAATTGGAATTGGATGCGGCCCACCATTTTTTTTATTTTATTTTTTTTGTAACGCATGGTATTGCATTAATGGCTATAAAAAGTACTTAATTTATGACTTGATGTTGATATCAATTTCACTCACCTGATTTGAATCCTGAGTATTCCTCTCCTGCTGTTTATATAATGTTAGTTGAGAATATGTTGAAAGACCTGCAATTTTAAAAGGAAGGGGATGCTGACAGAGAATTTTGAGTTCAGAATCTGCTCTGGAGCTACGGTTGCCAGGTGTCCAGTATTCACCCAGACAGTCAGGTATTTTTGCCTCCTGTCTGGTTTAAAAAAAAAAAATCAGAGATTACCTGAGGTGTCCGGTATTCTCTGCCTTTAACCCAGCCAGGAAGTGAAAATGCTGGGCTCCTGGCAACCCTACAAACACTCAGCACCTGGTCCCCAACAGCCCCAGTCCCCATGCTTACCTGGTTCCCCTAGGCTGCTGGCACAAAAGACCTAGGGGAAGCAATGCTTCCCCTGGGTATTAGTGCTTAACTGCTCCCCTGTTCCCTGTTTCTTCTTCTTTTTATTTTTTCCTCAACAACTTTGGTGTCTTCGCCCCCCTTTTTTCCCCCCATCAACAGAATTTTTTCCTGTTTTTTGGGGGGGAGGGGAGGGGAGGGCAGGGTGTTTGGTATTTTTGTTTCAACCATCTGGCAACCCTATCTGGAGCTCACTTAAGTTTGACAAAGTTCATATGTTCAATCCATTTCTTTTTCATTATACTAAGAGATATGGCATGATAGTGCAGCATGCTATACAAGTATTATCAGTCTGCACATAGGAATTTACATCCCTTAGCAGTAAGTAGATTTGTCTCCAGGGAGACCAATGCTGCTACAATTAATGCAGCAGGGTTCTATTTAATGGGTCTAGTTAAATTACATTAAATTGATGGCAGATCACTTACAGAGACTCATAGAAGTCATGGAAGCCTTTAAAAATATTTGCTTTTCCCTATAAATAGATATCACAATATGTTCCTTGTGAATTTTGAATAAAGTTGGGAAGGCTCTCTGTAACACTATAAAGCTACTGTTTATATTTTTGCATGTCTCTGAGGCACAGGATTTTGAAACTGACAATTCTGTATATAAAAAACCAGCTACAGATCCAGAAATGAGTCTTGACCATTCTGGATTCTGGTGGTTTTACTTCTGTTTTTGTTTGGGGGGGAAACAGGAAACACCCACATATTAGAAGAGAAGGAGAAATATTTTTCTGGTTGCTTAATTTTTTTAAATTGAAGCTATTTGGGGGAGATTATGCATTTACCTGAACTTTACCTATGAATCAAATATGCAAAATAAATTAGTTGATTACATGAATGTACAGTTTATTACACTATTATCACCTCCACTATCTGGGTTTATATGAATCTTTCTCATTCTCTCTTCTCTCCCCCTCCCCCCCATATGCTCTCTCTATACCTCACTCACTATGTATGCATAAATGTGTGTAAATGTGTATAATAATGTCTGTGTATTGATATTTGTGTATACCTCACTCACTATGTATTCATAAATGTGTGTAAATGTGTATAATAATGTCTGTGTATTGATATTTGTGTATGTGTTCTGTTCATAAACACACATATGCACATGTATGTGCATACTGCACTGCATATACCCGCTCCTTTGGGGGATTCTGCACCAAAACATTAAAAATTCTGTGCAAAATACCTTAAAATTCTGCACAATTCTGAAAATGTTGTCAAAATAACAGTTTTCTCCGGTTTCAGTTACTGTAGTAATCTATTTCAAAATGTCCATCAAAGCTTTCACATGTAGATGCACTTTTAAAAGAGAACTTTTTCCATTTTGCTCAATGAAATGATTTGAAAGTTAATACAGAAACAAGCTTCTTGCTACATAAATTTAACAATTGTGTTATAAATGTAGGGGGCATAGGATTGGGCAAGCTTTTACTCAGGAATAGTCCTCATTTACAAAAGCTAAATGTTATTGCCAAGGTCTAAACATTCACAAGCCATAGGCATATTCCATCAAAATCCTGAGACTGGCTTTAAAATTATTATTGTTTAAAACTCATTAACTTGGAATGCGTTTTTATTTGCCTCCTGGCTTTCTGTTTTTAAAGTGTTCTCCATAACCATGAGGTCTAGAAACTTAAAAAGACAAAGAAAACAAAAAAGGTGAGATTATATAATCACCTGACTGCAAAAGCTATGACTTTCAGAAAAATTCCAAATATCTCAATATTTTAAAAGAAGTTACAAGAGTTGGCAAAGCTAGAAATAAGGCTACTTGGACTCCTGCATTGAGCAAAGGTGTGCAGTATATGATCCAGAGTTTTCAACTGAAATGCTCCTTCATGAGCTCATGGGTAAAAGTTTTGACCATTTGTCAGCATTGGAGGCACTTGTAGGATGAAAATACAACAGCAACAATTGTTCAGTGATCTTTGTATTGCCTAAACTCTGTTAAAATGCAAAAAGAAAACTCTAGAGCCAAATTTTCAAGGTGGCCCCTTTTGTAAAGGTTTTTTACCGCATTACACACACAGATTTCTGTGTTTGAATACACTTTGGCTACGTCTACACTAGCATGATTTTCTGGAAATGCTTTTAACAGAAAAGTTTTCTGTTAAAAGCATTTTCGGAAAAGCACGTCTAGATTGGCAGGAAAAAGTGTCCGTGGCCAGTCTAGACGTGCTTTTCAACAAAAAAGCCCCGATTGCCATTTTCAGGATCGGGGCTTTTTTGCGGAAAACAAATCTCTGCTGTCTACACTGGTCCTTTTGCGCAAAAGTTTTTCAGAAAAAGACTTTTGCCCGAACGGGAGCAGCATAGTATTTCCACTAAAGCACTGACAATCTTACATGAGATCGTCAGTGCTTTTGTTCAAGCGGCCAGTGTAGACAGCTGGCAAGTTTTTCCGCAAAAGCAGATGATTTTGCGGAAAAACTTGCCAGTCTAGACATAGCCAAACAGTATTTTTATGAACATATGCAGCAGTTAAGTATTTATTGTGTTTACACAAGCAAATTTACTCAGGAATAGTCCACATAAATGTGTTTTTGCCAAGGCCTAACATTCACAAGCTATAGGCATGCCCCTTAAAAATCCTGAGACTGGCTTAAAAATAATGGGGTTTAAACAATAATAAACTTGGGATGGTTTTTTCATTTGCCTGTTTTTTGTATGTCATGAGTGCAAATGTACAGGTTCTTCTTGAAAATGCTTTAAATATTCTAAAGTTACATAGAGAGGGGTGCCTGATAACACAATTATGGTATTGATCTTTTCACGTTTAGGTTAGCATAGGAAATGAACTCATAGTGAATATTCCGCTCATAGTGAATAAAGTAAATAATTCCGCTGTGTAGGAAAGATAGAAAATATGGCAAAAGACCAGCTTGGCTTAACAAGGAGACCTTGCATGATCTTAAAATAAAAAAGGAGTCATATAAAAAATGGAAACTAGGACAAATAACAAAGGATGAATATAGGCAAGCAACACGGGAATGCAGGGGCAAGATTAGAAAGGCAAAGGCACAAAATGAGATCAAACTAGCTACAGGCATAAAGGGAAACAAGAAGACCTTTTATAAATACATTAAAAGCAAGAGGAAGACCAAGGACAGGGTAGGCCCACTGCTTAGCGAGGAGGGAGAAGCAGTAACAGGGAACTTGGAAATGGCGGAGATGCTCAATGACTTCTTTGTTTCGGTCTTCACCGAGAAGTCTGGAGGTGTGCCTAACGTAGTGAATACAAGCAGAGAGAGGGTAAGTTTAGAAGATAAGATACACAAAGAACAAGTTAAAAATCACGTAGGAAAGTTAGATGTCAGCAAGTCACCAGGTCCTGATGAAATGCATCCCAGGATACTCAAGGAGCTGATAGAGGAGGTATCTGAGCCTTTAGCTATGATCTTTGAAAAATCATGGCAGACAGGGGAAATTCCAGAAGACTGGAAAAGGGCAAATATTGTGCCCATCTATAAAAAGGGGAATAAGAACAACCCAGGAAACTACAGACCGGTCAGTTTAACGTCTGTCCCAGGGAAGATAATGGAGCAGGTAATTAAGGAAATCATATGCAAACACTTGGAAGGTAATAAAGTGATAGGGAATAGCCAGCATGGGTTTGTGAAGAACAAGTCATGCCAAACTAATCTGATAGCTTTCTTTGATAAGATAACGAGCCTTGTGGATAAGGGAGAAGCGGTGGATGTCATATACCTAGACTTTAGTAAGGCATTTGATACGGTCTCGCATGATATTCTTATTGATAAACTAGGCAAATATAACTTAGATAGGGCCACGATAAGGTGGGTGCATAATTGGCTGGATAACCGTAGTCAGAGAGTTGTTGTTAACGGTTCTAAATCCTGCTGGAAAGGGATAACAAGTGGAGTTCCGCAAGGGTCTGTTTTGGGACCCGTACTATTCAATATCTTCATCAATGATGTAGATATTGGGATAGAGAGTACGCTTATTAAGTTTGCAGATGATACCAAACTGGGTGGGGTTGCAACTTCTTTGGAGGATAGGGACATAATTCAAAATGACCTTAGCAAGTTAGAGAAATGGTCAGAGGTAAACAGGATGAGGTTTAATAAAGAGAAATGCAAAGTGCTCCACTTAGGAAGGAACAATCAGTTCCATACATACAAGATGGGAAGCGACTGTCTAGGAAGGAGCATGGCAGAAAGGGATCTAGGGGTCATAGTGGACCACAAGTTGAATATGAGTCAACAGTGTGATGCTGTTGCAAAAAAAGCAAATATGATTCTAGGTTGTATCAACAGGTGTGTTGTAAGCAAAACTCGTGAAGTCATTCTGCCGCTCTACTCTGCACTAGTTAGGCCTCAGCTGGAGTACTGTGTCCAGTTCTGGGCGCCACATTTCAAGAAAGATGTGGAGAAATTGGAAAGGGTACAGAGAAGAGCAACAAGAATGATTAAAGGTTTAGAGAACATGACCTATGAAGCCAGGCTTCATGAACTGGGCTTGTTTAGTTTGGAAAAAAGAAGATTAAGGGGGGACATGATAGCGGTTTTCAAATATCTAAAAGGGTGTCACAAGGAGGAAGGAGAAAATTTGTTCCTCTTGGTTTCTGAGGACAGGACAAGGAGTAATGGGCTTAAAGTGCAGCAGGGGAGGTTTAGATTGGACATTAGGAAAAAATTCCTAACTGTCAGGGTGGTCAAATATTGGAATAAATTGCCAAGGGAGGTGGTGGAATCTCCCTCTCTGGAGATATTTAAGAACAGGTTAGATAGACATCTGTCAGGGATGGTGTAGACGGAGCTTGGTCCTGCCTTGAGGGCAGAGGGCTGGACTCGATGACCTCTCGAGGTCCCTTCCAGTCCTATGACTCTATGATTCTATTACAGTAAGTACTAGACTTGCACATATATTGGCAGCTCTCTGCTCGTGAGTCAAAACAATCAGCCATATGTATTGACTTATCCTTTTACATCTGAAGCTTGTCACTTCTTGTCTTGGTCAAGGAACATTGATGGGGTATCTTACGCTGCCGTGCAGTACCAGTTCTATCAATTAAGACAGGACTTAAGTGCTGTCAATAAAATCTCTTTTTCATAAACTTGGTCACCATGCAAGAGCAAAGATAGGAAATGTTCCATAGCGTTAGTAATATTTTGAACATATGCTTACCCCATCCCAGACGTCTCTCATAGATTGCCCTAGTGCGTAACACTAGAAAAAGAGATACTTTGTGACATTGGTCAAGACATGCAACCTCAGTGTTCCCGTTTTTTCATCTATAAAATGAAAATGTCTGATTACTTTTGCATAGGCTCTGTGAGATTTATAGACAAAAAATGCTGCTGTTTATCTGTGCTAAACGTTATTAAGTTTTATTATGTTTGCTTTTTTAAAATTTTTTTTATCCTAAGTAATTTAGTTTAGAATAAATGTATTTTAAAACAGATGGTACCTCAGAGATCTAAAGCTGTACATGGAGGAAGAGTAGTTTAATGACATTTCTTCAAAAACAGGACAGTTTCTGAAAATAAACAAGCGCTATTTTAAAATGAGCATGTGCAACATTAGTTGTGTGTGAAGAGGGATGTAACTTTGCCCACCAGTTATCAGCTCGTTTATGTAGATCCTCTAGTTTCATTGTTTTCAGTCCTTTTCTGCAGTGTTTATTTTCATAACAAGTCTCATTTTTTAAAGTGCATTTATGAATCATTGATGGTTTGGCCTTTGTTTATTATAGCTCTGTTATTTGTGCTGCATGAATCAGTGTATGTAGGTCATAATAGGAGAGTGTGCTTCCCACAGCAGAGAATTATCATGTAGGTTGCAAACTCCACTTGCTGATCTGCTTTTAAAAGCAATAGTTTCTTCAGCGTGATCACAGGTAATGCATTTCTTTGAATTATACAATAGTGAGTGGCAGAATCGATGAGAGGCTGGTCCAAGGTAGCTTTTACCAGTAATGTGAAAAGATCAGTAGCTTGATGAAGAGATATTGTTGGAGGGTTTGGATTGCTATCTAAAGTCATTCTGAATTAAAAAACAGTGGTGTACGTGTGCACGTGCGTGTATCTAGGAAGTAAAAGAAAAGATTATCTTTTTCTGTGTTTACACTGTGTGCTGTTTCTGAAGAATCAGTAGAGAACAGGGAAAAAAGGATGAAAGGGCAGAGATAAGGAGAGCACAAAAAATTGCACAGGCTCATTATAGAGCATCATAATGCAATTTTCATGAAATTATGATAGTGTAGTAGACTTGGGGGGGGGGGGAACCATGTTTGTTTTTAGGTGCAAATGTGCAAGATTTGGAGACTTTGGCCCTTGCTGTAGCTGAGTATAACAGTACAATAATAAGCCCATTGCTGGATGTAGGGATAGTGTGTCTTGCAGGACCAAGCCCCCAGCCTGTTGCATATAAGTCTGCAAGGTGCTGAGAGAGGCCCTGTCCTCTTGTGCCTATAGCCAAAGGGGTGGAGAGGCGCTACTTCATGCCACAGGGGGGATATGACAGATCAGTGGGGCATGTTGTCCTCCTAAAGTATATATTCCACACCTGTTTGTGTTAATGACCATTATATATGTCTTTCTAGGAAAGAATTTACCACAATATCTAAATCGTTTCGGATGTGCTACATCTTACCCATGTGGTTTCACTTTTAAATGTATAGATATATGGGAGTTTAATAACTCAACTTTTACGTGGCTACTGATACTATCAGACATTTGCATGAGATTTCACTGTCTGTTTGTTCATCAGCTAAGTTTATTTTTTTACTTTTGTCTCATGAATGTGTGCAAGAGCGAGCATTCATTCTTAATGATAAATGTACCAAAAACCTACTGTACTAGGTAGAATTTAATTATCTACTGTACTGGGTAGTACAGCCTTCTGTGCTATGCTTTCAATTAATAATACGTTTATCTTTGTATTTCCAAACTTAAGTTTGGAAATACAGAGGAAGAACAAAATAACTACGTTTTTGGACTAAACTCTGGGGGTAGCTTTGGAAAGAAACACATAGCTACAATTAAGCAATGCCATATTTTTTTTCTTTTCTACAGTGTTAAAAAACCCAGTCTGTAAGTTGTATAGATTTCCTACGTCTGACAATAAGTGGCTGCGTATCCGAGAACAGATGTCTGAGAGCACCCTTTCTTTCCATGTTCCCAAGGAATTGATCAGCCTGCACATAAAGGAGGATATGAAACGGTAAGGACAACAAAATTATAAAATAAAAACTGTTAATACCTTTCATTGGGCAGTGTTCCTTACCTGAGGTAATATACATGATTATTGGTGAAGGTAAACTAAAATATTTTATGAAATGGGTAGGGAAATATAGTGATCTCATTGGCTGATTAGAATTCATAGCTATGATCATAATCAGAACAATTCATTGCTAAGACTCTAGTGACTTTATAAATTCTGAACAGCGTATTGTGTCAAATATACTCAAGGCTCTGAACTTCTGGGAATCAACGTTTGATTACTAATATAAATATTTTGAATAATTATCATTTATAATAACAATAACACATGACCTGGTGTGAACTGCTCCATAGAGAGCTTGGCTTTAGGCCTAGCAGCATCAAGGGGGAGGATTACTACAATATAAGCAGTAAGACATTGCACAGTTGGAATTAAGTCTAGGAGTAGTGACTATACAAACCACTTTCCTATAATTAATTTATATTTGTTAGTTAAAAGCATACCAGGTTTCAAATGTAGTGTTGTGTACAATTTTCCAATACGGATGTACTATCTAATTTAAATGGACTTCCAAGGAGCATAAACACAGCTCAGGGGAAGGAGGGCAAGAGCAAAAGGTGGCTTTAAATCCACTTTTGTGCCACTCATATTCTTAGCTTCTGCCATGGCTGGAACAGCTGCCTGCCCATGGACTGCACTGCAGCAGAGAATTTCCATAGATGCTGCCGTGGCTACAATTCATTCTCTTTGCTCCCTAGCATAACTTCAGTGCAGCCTGCAGGGTGGGGAGACCCGGGGCTGCAAACTTTGGTTCTATGCTGCTCCTTCAGTGGAAGAATTTTCACCGTGGCCTTTTGCAACTACCCCCCTTCTGTGCTACTGGAACAGGATGTGGCGGGCCATAATTTTTCTGCACTGCCTCAGTCCTGTTTCTGTTGAAGTCTTTGGTAAAATGTCTCTTGTCAGCATTGGTGAGTCCAGCCCTTAGTCAGACTAAAGATATTCACCCTTATAAAAAGCGGAAAGTAGGTCAAATTATGAATATAAATAAAATAATGTAAGCATGTGTGGACAGCTAGAAAGCCTAAGACAAAACATGAGACTGTTCTACCCTAGGATAGGATGAACATTTTACAAATACAAGAAATGTAAGGAGAAGACCAAGGTTAGGGTTAGTCCATTACTCAGTAAAGGAGCAAAGACACTAAGGGGCAATACAGAAATGTCTGACTTGTTAAATTCGTTTTTTTATTTCAATTTTCACTAAGAGGTTAGCATTGAACATCAGTGTAATTGGGGTAGGATCTTTGGCTAATACAGGAAAACAAGTTTGGATAAGTTTTTGAGTGGATAAGGCCTAATTGAATACATCATTGAATAGTTAAGGAACTTGTTAAAGAGATCTCCGAGCCATTAGCAATTATTTTTGAGAATGGGGAAGACAGGAGAGATCCCAGAAGATTGGAAAAGGGCATATAAAACAAGGGAATTATAACCAGGGAATTATTAAAAAGGGAATAAGAACAATCAGGGAATTATAGACCAGTCAGGTTAACTTTGTGTTTCTGGATGCCAATCAATTCATAAGCATCCAGAAGAAGATAAAGGGATAAGGCCTCATATCCTCCTTTGACATACCAAAGTTTTTTTTTTTAAGTAGAGGGGAGGCAAAAGAGGTGATTAAATCTTGATTGTTGTAAAGCTGTTGATGATATCTCACATGATCATCTCATAAATAAACTAGAGAAGTATAGTCGAAAGGAACTTACTATAAGATGGATGCACAAATGTTTGGAAAAGCCAACTCAGATAATAGTTATCAATAGTTCACAGTAAAGTTGGAAGAGCATATTGAGTGGAGTTCTGCAGGATCTGTCCTTGGTCCAGTTCTGTTCATTATCTTCATATATGGTTTTGATAATGGCTTAGACAACGCAGTTCTAACCTTTGTGAGACTAACAACAATGTTCCCTCCATGTGCAAGGAATTCGTGTGTTCCATCCATGTGCAGAATAAATGTTATGTGCACCAAGGCATGCACAGACGTGTACTACCAGTAGAAATACTTTCTCCTGGATGTGGGTATTCTGCTAATCAGCTGGGCGGCATTTAAGCTCCCCTGGGTGGCTGCCCAAGCACTCAGCTGTCAGGCAACACTGAATACCAATCTAGAAGGGTATTGCAACATTTTGGATTACAGCATTAGAATTGAAACTGAACTTGACAAACTGGAGAAATTGTCTGAAATAAAGTGGATAAAATTCAATAAGGACAATGCAAATTATTACTCTTAAAAAGGAATAATCAATTGCACACATGCAACATGGTAAATGATTGCCTAGGAAGGAGAACTGCAGAAGAGGATCTAGAAGTTATAGTGGATCACAAAGTAAATATAAGTCAACAATGAAACACTGTTGCAAAAAAAGCAAACATCATTGAGGAATGTTTTATCAGGAGTGTTGTAAACAAGACAAGAGGTAGTTCTTCCACTCTACTCAGCATTCATAAGGCCTCAGCTGGTATACTATGTCCAGCTCTGAGTACCACACTTTGGGAAATATGAACGCAAACTGTAGAAAGTCCAAAAGGAAAGCAACAAAAATAAAGATCTATGAGGAAAGATCAGAAAAAATAGTGCTTAGTTTGGAGAAGACTTGCGGGGGAAGAGGAGGAGGAAGGTTTGCCATAATAGTCTTCAAGTATGTAAAAACGTGTTATAAAGAGGAGGGCAATCTATTGTTCTCCCTACCACTGAGTGTAGGATAAGAAGTTTAAAATGCAACAAGGGCAATTTAGATTAGGCACGAGAAAAAACTTCCTTACTTTAAGGATAGTTCAGTAGTCAAGCAAATTACCAAGGGAGGTTGTGGAATCTCATCATTGGAGATTTTTAAGAGGTTAGACAAACACTTGTCGGGAATGGTCTAGAAAATATCCAGGCAGAGAATTGAACTCAATGTCTCTTCTAGACCATTGTTTGTATGATTCTGTTCAGATGTTATGATGATGGGGTATGATACAAAGTTTAGATGAATTATGGTAATACTTAATTCTACTCTTAAATATTGGTCATGCATTTTTTAAGTGGATAGCCTGTCTCTGCTTGGGAATACAAACCTGGGTTTTGTGGGGATTTTTATCATAGTGTTGAAATCGGGGTACTCTGGCTGCTCAGTTCAGTTGCTTCCTTAATTTTCATTACCATTCCATTGAAAATGGCAAATGATTATTGATGCTTGTACATTAACATTACCAAAACCATTACAGAATTTTACTGCATTGTAATAATGAGTTTCTTGTGTGAGGCTATAATTAATATATAAAAAAACAGGTGTTCACATTCTAACTGTAATTTAGTACTCTTATTAGAAATAAGGAGGTGAGATTGAAAGAGTAAATAATAGAAATATGTCTGTGTGACGGGGCGAACAGGCCCCGCACTGCAGGGCCAGGAGTAGCCCAGGCCCAGCTGGCTGAGAGGGCCCCGCCCTTCCGGCCCTGCTGGGCATGCTCCCGGCAGAGGCCAGGTATAAAGGCAGAGGGAGCCCAGCAGGCAAGCGGACAGCTGGGGGAGGGAGGAGACCAGGCCAGGCCAGTGTTTTTGCAGCCGCGGGGACCAGAGCCGCGGCCTGGGCTGGACCCTGACACCAAGGAAGCGGACCCCGACTCCGGGAGACCGGAACGTCCCCACAACCCCAGCAGGTCCTGCCTCAGAGGCCAATGGGCCCCCGGGGAACCGGGGCGCGGTAGGAAGCAGCCCAGGGCAGGGGTCACAAAGTTGGGCTCGGCGTGTAGCAGCCGGATTCCCCGCCGAGCCGGCAGGAGCCACAGACCCTGCCTGAAGGGCCCTGGGCTGGGACCCGGTGGAGAGGGAGGGCCCGGGTCCCCCTACCACGCAGGCCCCCCCTGGATAACCAGGCCTGGGGTCAGGAGAGGCTCCTCCGAGGGACTAGGCCTTTCATACCGTATATCCCCTGATAGGGGGGCCTGGACTTTGTGTTGAGACATTGATACTGTATATCCCCGGATAGAGGGGCCTGAACTTTTGGGGACTTTGGGGGTGCGGTATAGGCCCGGACTGAGACGCGGATCAGTATAAGAGGGTCAGCAGCCCCCGTCAGGGGTGTACCCCTGACAGTCTGTCTTATCTGGCACCCATCAGCATGGCATCTGTGTACCTGCCAAAGCCGAATAAAATAATTTCACCAGCATCCATGGAGGAGAAGAATTCTAGTCCACTTGCTGGATCCAGGAGACTAGAGGTAGAAGTCTGCTGCCCCAATCTCCTCTCGGAGTAGTCCGCTTCCCCAGAAGTGCACACAGTAAAGATCCATGCCTCTGCTTCCCCCTCATCCCTTCCATGAGAAATGAAGAGAAATTTCAGTTGGATCTGTGGCTATGGCAGGTACTTTCAGTGTTGCTAGTAGGGTTAGTGCGTGTGTGTGTGCGTGCGCGTGTGTTCACTGTGCTTTGGCAGAATCTGCGGTAGGAATACTGGCAGCTAACAGATTCTATGATGAGGATTCTACCAAATTAATAACACTGAAAAATCCGTCATGGACTGTGAAATCTGGCTATTGAAGAGGAGACCAGATTTCACAGAGTTGAGTGACCACAGATCAGTTGACGGGGAGTGGCAGTGGCAGTGGCAGTGCCAGCAGCAGCGTAGAAGTGAGATGCAAGTGTGTGACTTGTCCAGGGCCCCATGGTTGAGGTGGGGAGAGGGTGTGCCCTGGCCACCCACTGCACAAACACACCACCAGCACAAGGCCCCTTTAACTCCTAAATGCCAGGCTCCAGCTGTTAGTACTAGAGAAACTGGGCAGGGACAGGACTTCCTCTTCTTCTGCCTGGACTGCTCCCAAGGCCACATGACACACCAGCAGCAGCGCAGAATTGAGTGTGGCATGGCATGGCACCTGTACTTCTTCACTGACGCTGGTGGCAGCGCTGCCTTCAGTGCTGAGTGCCCGGCCAACAGCTGCTCTCTGGCTGTT